CCCCCCCCCCCTCCCCTCCCTCTCCTCCTTCCTTCTCAGAGTCCGCCCCTGCCTATGAATGAAATGCAGGCATTGAGAGCTAGATTTGAAACTGTAGGTTCGCACATGAGCAGAAAACGTCCTTCAGCAGTTTTATCTGTCTGTTTTGTCAAGTTCCTGAACTAAGAATCTCCTACGCAAAATTTCGCACGCACGTGAAAGCTGAGTTTGAAGTTTCAGGATTGCACGTTTAAAGGAAACATGATACTAAATTTTCAGCTTTCGATCTTGTCGGTCTCAAGGCAGAAAATTTCATGCCGAAACCCCCACGTAACCGTACACGAGATTTAGGTGTAAGTAGAAGTTCAATTGTAATTTTTGAGCGTTCACATGGGCTTGGAATATTACCTTAAAATTTCAGCTGCCTGGCTTTCTGGCCCCCGAGTTATTATTTTTGGCGCCAAAACTTTCACGTGACCGTGCGCGAGGACTAAGCGCGCACGAGGGTTGAATTTAAACTTGCGGGATCAAACCCGGACAGAGAACATTCTTTCTTGAACTTCCAGCTTCCTAACTTTTGTGGCTTCTGAATTATTAGTGTTGGCATTAAAACTTTCACGTGACCGTACGTTAGAACTAAACCTGTGTGAGGGCTGAATTTGAATTTGCGGAGCAGGGCACACAGCCCTAAAATTTCAGCTTCCTGCTGCACTCATCATGCATCTTCAAAGAATATAAAACATATCGAACGGCCACGTCAAAAGGAATTTCGGCTAGCATCAGATGCTTTCAGCTAAGTGCGCCAATACTTTTATCGTAGGCAAATGCTCCTAATTATTCTGGGGTTGTGGGGCACTGTTTGAAGTTTCCATTACGAAATTCATACATCAGCATCCGAAAAATGTTGTTTATCGTTTATTTGCTTTCTTTGCTTACTTTTTATGCGCTTTTGCCTTGCAGCGCTAGAGCTTTGCAACAGGCAGCAAAAACGCATATAGCAACGACCCTGTCAGTGTTTGTGTGTATGTGTGTTCTTCTGTCCGGGTACTTCAACTCGCCATCCACGCAAGCTTTAAAGCTGAAATTTTGCCAGTATGTTCCCCATCCAAGTGCCACCCCAGGACCACGACATCAACTCTCATGCACGTCTCGGCCCCGCGTACGAGCACGTAAAAGTTTTGGCGAGAAAACTGCTAACTCGGGAACGAGAAAAGCTAGAAAGCTGAAACCATACGGAGAATGTTCACCACTCGTGTATGACAAAAAGATTTCAAATTCAGCTGCCCAGGACTGCCCGGGACTTACATACGGGCACGTGAATATTACGGCGGGAAAATTCATAACTCGGGAATGAGAAAAGCTGGAAATTTGAAACTTTGGGAGCATGCTCCCTACTCACGCACAACCAAAAGTTTTCAAACTCAGCTCCTTAAGATCGCTCGGAGCTCACGTACGGGCACGTGGAAATTTTGGCGCTAAAATTACTAGCGCGAAAACGGAAAAGCTAGAAAGCTGAAACTTTAGAGTAATGTTCCCTACTCATGTATGATCAAAAGATTTCAAATTCAGCTCTTTAAAATCGTCCGGCACTCACGTACGGACATGTGAAAATTTTGATGGGGAAACCCTAACTCGGGAACGGGAAAAGCTGAAGGCTTTAATTCTAAGGGAATGTTCGCTACTTATGTGCGACTAAAAGATTTAAAGTTTGACTCTTCTAGTGCGACCATTTTCGCAGATCAGCACCTTTCGATTTGTCGGGTCACTGAAGTCGACATCTATAACTGACATACTACACAGCTGCACAGTTAACTTCCCGAACTTCGAGGGTCAGTATTTCACAGGGTTAGCTAATGTGGTCCCTTGCGATCTTGCTACGGCATGAAAAGTGCAAAAACGCATAATCGCACCGGCCCGCCTGGTGCATTCCGGCTTGGGTTGTTTGTTGCATTCACTTACCTCTGGTATTGTCGATGATAAGCGTACTTTTACTTTTATTACTGTCCGGGTGTTCAAGTTCAAGGGTAAAACGGACGTCCACAGTGCCGCTATCATCGTAGCTAAACAAAGGATTATGCGCCACTATTGTTGCATCTGAAAGCGGCAATTTTTCATCTGAAAATATGAATGAGTTTTAATTAACTGAGCCGAAAAGATTAAGTGACGACAAAATTCCTCCATCAGATTTAGGTTAATTTTCTGCGCAAGAAAATTAGGCCCAAACAGAATTACTACTCATCGTCATTTGTTTATTTGAAACGACCACTAACTCAATCCTGATTCATGTTCGCAGCGTTCTCCAGCGGTGTAGCCGACGACCATGCCATCGACTCTGATCCCGGACTCTCCGCTCCCACACAGCACACAATACATTCGAGTTAATGCGCGTCAGTAGCTTTCCAACTTTTCTTTTGACATCGTGGGTGCTACTGTTATTTACCACTTCTTTCTACGGGTTCACTCACCTCATCTAATATCATTAACGCTCCATCTACTCTTATAATGCGTTTTTTGCATCTATGTAATGCATGAAACCCATATTCAGGAGAGGTTGTCTGTGTGTATATGTCTGTGTGTTCGTCTGTACCGATTTTTCATCTCGAGACCTACAAAAGCTGCAGAGCTGAAACTTTGGGAACTTAATCTATACGCGTGTACGTGCCCCCATCTCCTAAATGGGCGCTCTTACCCGCGTGGTACTTAAGTGCGGGCTTGCTAAAGTTTTTTCGGATAAGTTGCTAATTTCGGAATCTGAAACGCTAGAGGACTGGAATTTTAAGGGCATTTTACCCGTTCAAGTAGGGGTTAATGCTTTCAAATCCAACTTTCAGTGATGCATGGTAGTCACGTACGGGTCCGCCAAAGTTTTTTTCGGGTAAGTTGTTAACTCGGAACCTGAAAAGCTAGAGGACTGGAATTTTAAGGGGATGTAAACAGTTCAAGTAGGTATTAATAAGTTCAAACTCAGTTCTCGGGTAAGCGCGGTACCCATGTATGGACCCGTCAAAATTTTTTTCGGGCAAGTTGCTGAGAAGCTAGAAGACTGGAATTTTAATATGACGTTCCATATACACGCAAGTATTAATCAGTTCAAACCTAGTCCCCGGGTATGCGTGGTTCCTATGTACAAGTCCCTGAAAGTTTTTTGCGGGTAAGTTGCTAACTCGGAAATCAGGAAAGCTAGAAAGCAGAAATTTTAAAGGGATGTTTCGAGACAGTCCTGGTGGCTAGGCTCAATTATCTTAGCTAGTAATATTTGCTGGAAAAACCCGTGCCGTTGGCGACAAAAACCTACAGGGGACTATACAAAAAACGCACCTTCGCACCGGCAGTCGGTGCACTGGCCAACTATTTTCACTTTATGACACGACATACCTACCTTTAAATATTTATGCTAATTTTTGAAGCAAGAATTTTCTCGCAGAAACAAATGTGATTCAGCAAAATATATACTCTCCTGGTATTGGTGCATACTTTTCAAAAACTTGATTTACATGTCAAAAAACAGGTAACCGCGTGCACCAGTGAACCGGACGGAACATGCGTTACTGTGATGAGTTGTCCAGCCAGTGCGTACAGATGATAAGTCGAATGGGTAAGTGACCCATTCGGAATTCTGGCTTCTCATCAATGTGAAATTTGCTTCAGTTTAGACTTGAAGGTTGTAAGTCAACAAAGAGAGAAATGAGGGAGCTAATTTCATGTTAAACATCTCTCATAATAAAATGATTTGCATAAGTATAAGCAAAAGCACAATGTTGCTTAATCTAGTACATCGATTTTCATCTAATTTTTATTCGTGCATGCGAGAGACTGGCATTTTAGCGAATCCAGGCAAAGAATTCCAGGGAGCTAGAGGAAATGGCTGCGTGTTTCAGAAGCCTGTGGTAATAATGTGTTTCTGCAATAAGTTTTTGTGCGTTTTGTGCTATGCAAAACGCATATTGTTGAGACCCTCTGTGTGTTATTTGTCTGTGTGTGTTGTGAGTGCATTTTATCAGCGGGTTTCAACTCGAGGACCAGAAAAGACAGGATGCTGAAATTTTAGTACAATATTCCCCCGTTCACGTGCGAAATCTCAAATTCAAACTCAGTCTTCAAGTCCCCATGGGTACCACGTACGGCCCCGCGAAAATTTTGGCGCGGGGAAAATTATTATCTCGAGAACCAGAGAAGCTAAGAAACTGAAATTTTAGTGGAATGTTCTCCGCCCAAGTGCGACCCTGTAAACCAAAATTCGGCCTTCACTTATCCCCGAGTATCACTCACGATCCCGCGAGAGTTTTGACGGGAAGAATTATTATCTCGAGGACCACGACAGCTGGGAAACTGAAATTTTAGTAGAATGTTCTTTTCTTACGTGCGACCCAGCAAACTTAAATTCAGCCTTCATGTACTCCCGGCTCGGTGCGCTGGCCAATTATTTTCATTTCCAGTTAGCTTAACTTTAGATAAAATTTGCAAATTCCAAAACAGAGACAATTGAGTTTTCAGACCAAATTATGGTTTGGCACATGATCAAAATCCGAAATTTTAGGCTACGTAATTTCCGTAATTCTGCCGCCATGCTATCTGAACAAACACACACAAACATACACACACACACACACACAAACACACACAACACCTTTACATACACACGCATTCACATTAACACAAGGAAGGTATTGTGGAAATTAATGGAATTATTGTAACTGCCACTAAGCAAAAAAATTTTAACAAATTTTTAAAGCTGAAGTTTTCTTATTAGTTTTTTTTTTGTCATTTCAAATGCTCACAAGCTATACAGTGCTGCATCCAGATTTATTAAGCTGCCATTTTTCCAGGCGGGAAGTCAGACTGTCCGCCTTGTAAAAAAAAATCAACCTTCTGAAAATAGCCGCCTATCCCGAAGCTTATTGCAAAAATTTTCCCTGCATATGCAGTGCTTTCCACTTCCGTCCGTTTCAAGCCAGCATTCCGCATTTCCAGTGTTCGTTCGTCTTCGATACCGTTCCGGAAGGCTGAGCAGACAGAAAGCAGTTGTTAACATCATATCTGCTCCCTCATCTGAAAAATTATGATTTTGCCTTGGATCATAAGCTAAAGAATTAGTGGGTTGGAAATGACAGCCGTATGACAATAACTTCACTGCAAAAACATTTTCCATTTCGAAGTTTGTCTGACAAATTAAATTGACACTGCTGGCTTCACTTTGGAATTGAAAATCTGCATGCAGTCTTATAACGCATATTAAAGGAAAAAAAAAACAGCAGACAAATTTTCAGTTTTAGCAAAAGTTAGTAATATTCTGAGCTATTTTGATGAACCAGGTTATGCTAAACGGAATCGCGAGAATGTTTTTCTAAAATTAATGCAAATTCTTCTATCTTAGACTCCGATACTTGCTTACCAAGTCAGACAAGTTTTTGTGGGGCTTGTGCTCCTATGCCTACACTCGCATAACTGCTCTCTTCGTCTACTAGACTGATCTCAGCCAAATTCAAAGCAGTTTTCTAATGCATCTTAAAGGTCCTGCAGATCTGATTGCATTCAAAGAAAAGCCGTCCAAATACCCGGATTCTGCGATTAATTATGACGAACTGCTCGCAAAATTTCATGCTCTACTTATGAAAACTCTGGGGCCAATGGCTGTTCGACTTGGTTCATTGCGGTTCAACAGTGCATTTTGCTATTTCATTCGTTCCTAGGTCTCCTATTTGCTAGTTTAAAGAGCAGCAATACAGCTATTTGCACAAATGGAAAAAACCGCTAGTGTGATGCATCCCCCTCCCTCTCTTCGACGCTCGCTGCCAATTATTTCCCGGCAGTAAAATGTTCCCCCAATTTTTTCCAGCCATACGTTAACATCTAACTTGGGCAGTCCTTGTCTTTCGATATAAAATGCTTAAAAAATTCGATATAAATTGCTTAAACTCCCACTAGAACTTGTCAATTTTCGACTTTTTTGAATTTTTTTTTGCATCGATCTAACCTTCAGACCTATTGACAAAAGCACTATGAAGCTATTTTCAGTGGCAGCTATTCAAAGAATAATTTTCCTGGGCCACTTCTCATACCAAAGTAGTGCGCAAGGTAATACCCAGGCTGAAACGCACCAGGCGAGCCGGTGCGATCATGCGTTTTTGCACAGTACTTGAATTAGG